AGACTTACGACAGCTGGTAATTTTTCTGTACAGTGGATTACACTTAGATAAGTCCCAGGAGGATGACTATTAAAAATAGATTTTTATATTTTAATTTTAGAGTTTGCATCATAAGAACTTGCTCATCTTCACAATGCCAACTATACTTTATTTACCAGGGTTCTGTTCTAATAAGTACACAAACAAAAGTAGAAAGAAGTATTTTTTTTATTAAATTAATACACTCACCTATCTTGAGCATCCACTTTAGTATCATTGCTGGTATCACTACAGTCAGGTATATTCTCTTCTGCTGCTAGCACTGAAAGGGAAAAAACAGCTATAAATATAATATTATGAATATTATATAATTTTCAGTTTTATATGATCAGCTGTTTGAATTTGGCAAGTTGACCTTTGCATTTAACTAGGTTGTCTACCTTCAAAATGGGAAACGTCATCAATTTTGGTCTTTTAATGTGACGTAGTTAATTTGTGTCTGTCTTTTTTATCATAAACATACGCTACAATCCTGGAAACGGGCTATCACATCGACCTCTGACTTCGCAAAGGTCACGCAATGAAGCAGACGACGTTTTCCCAAAAATATAGATTTTTGGCATTGTTCACTGAAAACAGCTCATGAAATGTGTTATTTATAACCCAAGGACAAGACAAATTGTCATGGGTGGATGTTTTTGGAGCGATTGTAACGAAAATATGATTACCTTTTTCTTTCCCGGTGTTTGATTTTCCGCCATATTGTCGAAAAGGTAGCTGACATGCGCACTGTCACCAGGCTTATTCCAACATTATTTACTTACGAAATGAAATACACTTAGATTTTGCTATCGTCACTCGGACAGACTAAATTTTAATGTTATGTTTGCGAACGTAATCTGTATTTGTGCGACTTCAGAATACATCATTGATTGATCTAAATAGACTGCTTCGCGGAGTAAATTGTTCATAAGCTATGGTCATTTAAAAACCGGAACCTTCTGACACAAAAATGACACAATGGAGATGTACGTGTTGCCAACGTTCACGAGATGCGTTGGACAAATCTTCTCGTAAAGTTTGCAAAGATTGTATTTGACTATTGTATAGAATAAGAAGAACAAAAATCAACAAGCAATGTATGCACCCGTATATTTATTGATCATACAGTCAAGTAACCTAATTTCGTGCTAACCTATTTTTCGTGCATTTCCGGAAAGGATTAATAATTTACATTTGCAACCTCGCGTGACCCCCACATTTGCTTGTTTTGATAAACAAGGGTTATCTGTACAATGTCAGCTAGTAGAATGAAACGACACAATTTTTTATCAGCCGAATTTCCTTATAATCCCTAGCTGTATTCGGAATTCCAAGTGTCGTCTGCTAGAATGTAGTCCAACGAATGAAGTCACCTGATCAACTAGCAGATTCCGTGTCAGCAGAAAAATTCTATGGAACACAAAGCGGGCCATATTCTTATGTTGTTTCAATGACTTTTAACAATAAATCACGCTACGTATCTTATTTTGAAAAATATTTATTATGAATTATTGCCTTTGTTCTTTAAAACGCATTCGATTTTTAGCTCGTTAAAATTCTTAACAGATTTTGACGAAACTTGCTGAAATTGTTTATTATCACCCAAGGATGAACCCTATTGAAAATCAATAAAATCGAAAACTATTTAATATGAATTATTGGCCTTGTTCTTTAAAACGCGTTGGATTTTTAGCTCGTTAACACTCTACAAGTCACAATTCTTTACTGATTTTGACAAAACTTGCTGAAATTGTTTATCACCTAAGGATGAACCCTATAGAAAATCAATAAAATCGAAAAATATTTAATATGAATTATTGCCCTTGTTATTGAAAATGCGTTCAATTTGTAGCACGTAAACATTCTAGAAGGCACAATTATTGATGGATTTTGACGAAACTTGGTGTGAGTGTATGTAATCACCCAAGGATGAACCCTATCGAAAATCAGAAAAATCGAAAAATATTTAGTATGAGTTATTGCCCTTGTTCTTGAAAATGCATTCAATTTTAGCTTGTAAACACTCTAGAAGGCACAATTCTTGATGGATTTTGACGAAACTTGGTGTGAGTGTTTGTAATCTCCCAAGGATAAACCCTATCGAAAATCAGAAAAATTGAAAAATATTTAGTATTAGTTATTGCCCTTGTTTTTGAAAACGCGTTCAATTTTTAGTTTGGCTTGAGTGATGGTTATCACCCAAGGATGAACCCTATTGAAAATCAGAAGAATCGAAAAATATTGAGTATGAGTTATTGCCCTTATTCTTGAAAACTTGTTCAAATTTTAGCTTGTAAACAATCTAGAAGGCACATTTCTTGACAGATTTTAACGAAATTTGGCTTGAGTGTTTGTTATCACCCATGGATAAAGCCTATTGAAAATGAGAAAAATAGAAAAAATATGAGTTATTGCCCTTGATCTTGACAACTCGTTCAATTTGTAGCTCATTAAAACTCTAGAAGGGAATTAATCTTGCCGAATTTTGACAAAACTTGGTTTTATTATTCATTACCGCGCGATGGAGATTGAATATTTGTCTTCTAGAGTTTTCACATGCTAAAGATCGAACACGTTTTCAAGAACTAGGGCAATAACTCATACTCAATGTTATTCAGTATCGCCCTAAATAGTTCAAAAGAAGTGTATGACTGAAGGTTGAATATTTCATACTGGTGATTGTTACTGTACTGCTAAATATTTATGTTCAAAATCAAAGCTGCCAGTGGGCATATATTACCTTGCCTGGCAAGCTATCTTGATAATTTTACAGTAGTCAGAATATCTGCAAGTGAAATAAAGACATTGATATGGCGCATAAAATGAAATCTTATAAGATAAGTAATAGTGTTGAAACGGTTAATCAGTTAACCGATTTCGTGTAGTATTTCATGGGTAAGTGGGTCTGATTTGAGATTATTGGTTAACCGTCAATTTTTATACGCCCGCATGGAAATGGATGTATATTGCCGTCGACCCTGTCCGTCCGTCCGTCCGTCCATCCATATTTGTTGTATGCATGATAGAGGCTACAGTTTTTATCTGATCTTGATGAAACTTGGTATGCATGTATATATTGATAAGATCCTGGTCAAGTTTGAAATTGGTAATAATTGGATGATCGGTTTCAGGTTATTGCCTTTGACTTAGTAAAAATGCGTTAAATTTGGCTGGTATGCACAATAGAGGCTGCAATTTTTATCCGATCTTGATAAAACTTAGTATGCATGTATATATTGATGAGATCTCAGTTAAATTCGAAATTGGTCATAATCGGATGACCGGTTTCAGAGTTATTGCCCTTGACTTAGTAAAAACACGTTTAATTTGGCTTGTATGCATGATAAAGGCTGCAATTTTTATCCGATCTTGATGAAACTTAGTATGCATGTATATATTGATGAGATTTCGGTTAAGTTCAAAATTGGTAATAATCGGATAATCGGTCTCAGAGTTATTGCCCTTTACATAGTAAAATTGTGTTTAAATTGCCTTGTATGCTCAATGAACGCTACAATTTTGATACCATCTTGATGAAACTTATTATGCATGAATATCTTGAGATATCGGTCAAGTTCGGTAATAATTGGATGAATGATTTCATGAAATATTATATTGAATGAGATATCGGTCAAGTTTGAATTTTGTTAATCAGATAAATGGTTTTGGAGTTATTGCCCTTGATTTTGTAAAAACCCTACAAATTTGGCTTGTCATGATACAGGGTCAGGGGGTTCAAAAGTTTCCTTGGCGAAAGATGAGAATCAAGGGGAGTTTGGACCTCCCCAAAGAAAATTTTGAAAATGAAATATCAGACATGCATAATCCTGGCACTTGAGAGGATTGTACCGAAATTGACACTTCAATCTTGGTCCTGCTCTGCAAACTTATGAATGGCATCATAATTGTGTAAAAACTTTGTCACAATTTGATCGTAATTTTAATACAAAACATGGGTCTTAATATAAAAATAAAAGAATAAGATGCCTTCACTTGTATTTTGATTACCTTATAATACGCACCCCTACATACAATGTGAATTTATAAGTTAAATTCGTTTTTGACTAAATATCAAAATGGTTACACGACAATTTTATGTGGATAGGTATTAAGTTATCTTTTTCGTTTTGTGTTTTATTTGTTCATGCCAAATATTGTACGCAGCCTTCACTACACGTGTTTCGTCTGCTCTTTTTTATACATCAGTACACGCAAGACCTCGCTTATTTTAGTAATATCTCAGCTGTATTAGTATGGCTTCGGGATTAGATGGGCCTATACGGGCTGGTAAAGGTGTTAGTGTTCGAAAGGGTGACGAAGACATTAAAACTGAAATTGAATATACAACTACTCCAATTTCTTCCTCGCAATACCCTACACTGTTTGATCACGTGACACCTCAGCAACAACAACCGCCATTGTTGAAATTGCCTCTGTCTCCCGCTGTTAGACAAAAATCGCTCCCAAATTCTCAGTCATTAAAGGCCGATGCTGCACTACGAGGTCTTCAAGACGAAGTTCAGAAGCTAGAATTGGAGCTAACACAGTTAAAACTCCAACACCAATCCGGTCTGTTGGTCCGTCGTCATCCCCTGACATTAAGAGTTTTTGATTTTGGCAATTGAATTAAGTTCAGGCCAAAATTAGAATTGTTAGTGAAACAATATGTGGTACCTGTGGGTAAAGAGTAAAAAAATTAAGTATATAAACAATCGAATCATCCAGGATATTGAACCAAATGTGAATGGACAACAAACAGTGATATATGCAGTCAAAGCTGCTAGTGGGCGTGTGTAACCTTGCTTTGCAAGGCTATCTTTGATTTTAAAAACAAAACTGCAAAAGTAGGAAAATCAAGGTTCATTCTGGCTTTCGTAAGCTACTCTCTTCCGCCCTTCACACAAATTTGGTCCTTTCCATTCTAAAAGATAGTTTTACTTTACTGTTGTCTTAACCTTTTTTTTTCTTTTTTGCTGCAGGTGATGGCGGGTATAAGAAAGAAGTTAGTTATAGTAGGTGATGGTGCCTGTGGTAAAACATGTTTACTTATTGTATTTAGTAAAGACCAATTTCCAGAGGTTTATGTACCCACAGTTTTTGAAAATTATGTTGCCGACATTGAAGTTGATAGTAAGCAGGTTGGTTAATTTGGTTTTAAAGACCGATTTTTGAAACATTTAGAGCACCAATATCCCAATCTTCCTTCAGCAATGGTAAATATTGTAAAAGATTCCTTCAAACAAAATATTGTGGGAAATGTGTGAGTGAGTAACCAAACGCAAAATTTAAGTACCAAATTTGTTTTCTAATAATTGAGTCTCAAAGTTCACAGTTGAGTCATCGTCATGAAGTGTCGATTATCAAAGAGCTATTATAGTTTTCAGAGGACTAATGAAAAGAATATCTCCTATAATCTTTACATCAGAATATTCACATATATATTTATTTGAAATGGCATGCAAATCAATGATTCGGCAAATAGTAAGGGTATGACTACATGAATTAATTATGTCCTCTACTAAATCCCACCTGAAAATTTTTGCTTATAGATGGAAGGAAATGTTAAAATGCTCTCTAAACTTTTGTAAATATTAAGGAAACTTGTTAGTAACTTTCTGTTAAGTTTTACATGGATTGATTATACAAGAGGGGGTTGTGTGATACTGCAAAATTTCCGATTAATTCAATGAAGATGCGAATCCTGAAAGTGAATACAAGAGGTGCGTCAACGTATACGGAAAAGCGAAAACAAGAGGTGCGTCAGCGTATACTGGATCTACGGTGATTTAGAAATTGCATTACAATTGTCGAAATATATAATAATATCTATTTATAACATTGTTTAACTAAGTGATAGATAAATTTTCTGTGAAGTTTAAGCAATTAAAGTACTAAGATTTCTTCAATTTTGCAACATACATAATATGATGTTTCAATAGACAATTATATGTTCGCAATTTAATTTAATGGAAAAAGGATATACCTTTGTTATTATTTTTCTGCACCATGTGGATTAATCGATATGGGCAACGTCATGCAGAGTGCAATGAGAGAAATTTTGCCAGAACAGTGGCATTAACCTGCTCTTTTTCGATTTCCAACTGTCCAGGGGTGCTAAACGTGCATATCCTGTGCCACACAGGGTAGGGCTGGGCAATATTGGTTCAAGTTGATATCATGATATTAAAGCATTAATATATCACGATATGGGTATATATTGCGACATTTTTTAAGTTTATTTTTTACTGGTTTTTGAAAGAAAATTATTTGAAATGTAACTCTAAAAACACCTTAGTCTTGAATATCATGAAAAGAATATCTGTTTCAAATATCAAGTTACTTGTTAAAATTATGTAGATGATTTTGTCTGGACAAAAATTTTACAGCATCGGGTATATCATGATAATTACTATATATCATGATATGACGATATATCTGTATTTTTTAATCAGGCTATATTATTAACAATATAAATTCCTATACCGGTATTTATCGTGATACCTAACACAGGGCCTCGGTTTAGAATATTCGGTTACGCTTACTGTAACACTTTAGGCTAATGTTAGGGTCAGACGAAAAGAAAGATACAACTATATTTTACAAGGATAACAACGAGGTCGACTGGAATTATGAGTGAAGAAGACTTAATCAAGGTCATGGCCATTCGTATCCTAGAAAATACGTGATTACGTTCTCGCAATGCGTTGGGAAATATCATCCCTATTTTTAAGATGGACTGACCCAATGAGGCTCTTAACGCTGCATCTCCAGTATATCTATCAGATTTTAAAGTTTCAAAACTCCAGCAATAGATGGTTTCAATAAAATGTTACAATATCATCAGATCTTATCTGGATTGCTGGTATCATTTAACATATCGATTGTGAAAAAAGATTCAATTCTGGTGTAATCTTTATCTGGACCTATCATCGGAGAAATTAGTTTGATCTGAATTCATTTGATGGGAGATAAATCTGTTTTTTGTGGACGAGACACTAAAACGAATCGTATTTGAAAGATTGTAATTATGGATTTGTATTTGATTTCAGGATATTTCTCATCTGTCACATATTTCAATCAAATGTCATTGTGTTTAAGTAAAAATAGGAATGTCAAATCCTGGAAAATAATTGAAATATCTCCAAAATGTCCTTGAAAATGAAAATAAGATATCTGCGGGAACATGCATTGTTATAATGACACTTTCAACTGTTGGTCTCTTCTTCTATTTTCTACTGTATAAACCGATGCCGTATACTGGAAACGTGCTTCGACTATTCGCACCTGTACAGTCTATACATGTCGAATGTGGGATCGTTAGATATGGACAATAATTACCGTTGCTAAAGGAACATGTAATATCCCATACCAGAGAACATCTCAGGCAACCTGGGAGGCTCCACAGATAATTTTCAAACATTGGTTTTTTTTTACATAATAATCAACACATCTCTGTAACTAATGAACCAACGCATTGCGAGAACGTAATCACGTATTTTCTAGGATACGATACGGTGCTGACACAATTAGCCCAAGTCCTTTGTCATAATTTCAATTCTATTACTATAAAAACATGAGATGATCTTTAAAATGATATTATACATTATAATTGTGTCCTATCACGCTTTGATACTTTTATTACATAACAATTTGATACAAAGATATACAGTGTGCCGGAGGAAATTGTCAAGCACCATAATCTCTATTTGAATGACATACGCTATTTTTTAGCTAGTTGTTGACCTGTATTATTTGCAGGTGAGAAAACAGCGAATATCAGTCCTGATGGGTCCTGATGAATTGATGGGTTTAAAATGAAATTTTTCCATTGATAATGTCGTATTTTTGCTATGTCCGGCAGAAAATTTCAAATGTCCGTCACAAATTAAATTCTGTCGGACAAAATGACTGACTCCATTTCAAGCCTTGCACCGACGCCAACACTAACACTGATTTCCACAACAACTTTGAAATTGGCAGCAGTGTTGGTATAAGCAAAAGGTGTTGATGTACCGTTTCAAAGTTAGTGTTAGTCATCAACCTGACACCATCTCAACACTGAGCTAAACCGCAGCTAGTGTTTGTTCTTATGAAATTTAAAGGACTTTCTATCGGTGATAACACCCAACCCCCAGAGGTTAACACCAGACTGATTTCAAAGTTGGTGTTGGCAGTCAAGTTGTTTACACCAGTGCTGACTTTCATTTGGTGTTTTTTTGCCTTTGGATCAATACTCCCCACAAACACTAAGTGTTAAATAAACACATCAGTATTAACACTTGGTGTCAACACCTGACATGGTGTTTGGTGCTCTGGATCTAAACACAATCATTGACACCTTACACCAACACCCAATAGGTGACTTCAATGTTGGTGTTAACACTAGCACCCATTGCTACATCTACTTTGAAATGGGGCATTGGTGTTGGTGTTGCCACATTTCAATGTCTGTTAGGTGTCAACTGCAGCTAGTTTTGGCCTCATGAAATTTATAGGACATATAATATAAGTTAAGCCAGCTTTGACATTACCTCAGAAGTTATCGGAAAGTTGAGAGGTCATAATACCATTGCACATTATGACGTAGGTGATGATGGCGGGAATTTGTTTAGACGAATACACATGCATAGACATGACATATCCAGCTTAATGTTAGCCAGTAGCATTCAGACAGAAAAAACTAAGCTGGATTAACTATTCAGGCCAGGTTTTAAGCCACCTCTGAGGTAGGCATAAGTTAAGGCAATTAAGTTAGCCGGTTGCACTAAGGGGACGTGATCTACTATCTTTTCACTTGTGACAAGAATCATTAGCCATATTTTTTGAGAAAAATTTACCAATATGTTAATCGTAGTATTATTGTACAATATTTTTAATTTATTAGTCCATATTTTTATTTGATTAAAGAAAATACTTTTATTCAGTTTTAAAGATCATACTAGTTCGTACAGTTAAGCTTTGTTAGCTTATTGTGATTTAAGAAATTGATGTTACATGTGAAGGAATGATTTCCAACGCTTTTTTCTTGCTGTCATTGTCTTCACTGATTTTTGAGGTAAACAATCCTCATTGAGTTTATCGTCTGTTTTGTTCGGTGAGTTTCACTTTTTTGTAAGCATGTTTCTTGGTTTGAGCAGTAAAGTTTTCATTTATTTCTTATATCACTCACTGTTATCATTTTCAAATCACTTGGTATGTTTTGAATTTTTATATAAATGTTGTATTCCTTATGTCATTTTATTTTGTTGTTGCCACTGTTTGTCCATCTATTTGATAAAACTTGTTATTATATAATATGATGGGATTAGTATATGTTCCAAGAAGTAGTCTTAGAAAATATCTTTTGCGTTTTAAGAATTTTGAAAAGCAGTGTCCATTGCCATAATTTTGTATAATTGGATTTGAATGTAATGCTAGAATACCTACAATGGTATCAAATTTGGATCAGTATAAAATCAACACAGTCGCTCTGATGGCTGAGGGAGCCATTTCCATTACAGAATTATATTTTTCTAGTAATGTTAGTATGAATTGAGTACATAGTGGAGTCTTAGGACTGTTTAATGAAAAATTTTGTCTGTCATTTTCAAAGAAAAGAGAGATGAAAGTGTGTAACTTTGAATCTCCCTATGGTCAGAGTAAATTTTAAGTCAGTCATGCGCCACATTACATAAACATTATAAAAAACAACAAATTGAATATATTAATATGTTAAATATTTTAACAATTGTCACTAGCTGTACTCATTTTGTTACTCTACTTCTCATATATAGTTTCTGACTGAGGTTTTGGATTTTCTTACCTACCTTTGTTTGTGGTCTTATTGTTTTTATTTTTACATGCATGCTCATTGCATTTTGACATTTATTTGCTATGATATTGCCTTGCAGTTGAAGTTCATTTGCAAGAAATGTAGTATTTAAGAATTTAGATATAATCTATCTAACTTATAGTTGCTTGTAATTTGTATTTATTTGCCAAATACAAATTTCACTTCTAATATGACAAAAAAACAGTGGTGAAGCAAAGCACAAACACTTAACATGTATGTAAAATAAAATAATCGTGAATACACAAATAACCAAATATGTTTTAGTGATAATAAAAAATTTTGTGAAAAAATGAAATTACTCATTAA